ATGTGGTGAACAACTTATCTGGCTTCTAGCAGAGAAGCAGCACATCATGGAGAGGGCTTTTTCTGATGATTTCCGTATCGGAAGCCCTGACTTCATTTTACCTAGGAATCTTGCTGCTTTTGATTTTTTCCTGTGCTCTAATGTCACCTCCATATTAATTGTTGACTATAAAAGAAGACTTGAGTAAAGATTTCCAGTACCAAGAACAGGAAAGCTATGTTCAACACACCTTTTCTTACTGTCTCTCTTTGCTGTTTTTTCCAAAACTGCTCTTCGTCGCAGGTAGTCATTTTGGATTTCATTATACTTTGCAGTGTGCTCTTTGATAAGGTCGGTGGTTTTCTTGTGGTGCCTCTTTACAAGGTCCTTCATTTCCTTGTAGTGCTTCTTCTGAAGCTTAACAAAAGACTTCTGTTGTTTTAGCTCCTCAATAGTCTGTGCTTCCACTTCTACAATGGTAATTACAAAAGCCACTTCAATTTTCTAATAATGCACGATTTCAACCACAGAACCCAGATATTGCCATTAGCAGGACTAAAACAAAGCATGCTTGTTTACTGCAGGTAAGTGAAATGGGATAGCTTAAACTAACTGAGTAGACTTATCTGGAAATAAGCTAACCAGATTGAAAATACTGTGGTAAATTTAATTGATACAACAGTAAGAAGGCAAGATGAAAATTTAGAACACCAAGATGTGTAACAAAATAAAAAAACATGTACTTTCTCTCCTCAATCCCTTTTAGATGCAAAAGATTCCCATCAGCTCAACGTGTAAAAACATAACCTTACGTACATACGTCCACAGGTCTTTTTTGTACCCACTGTATCAACACTTCAAGTCTCCCTTCTCTGTGGATGGGCTACATAACATGCTGATGCCTAAACCCCCTTCACAAACAGCACTTCAGCTGCCTGCTCTCCTGCCTTGACCTGGGCACTGGTTGGAGGCATCTGCCCGGTATCATCACAGCGTCTTGGGAGAGACTTCACTTCGCTCTTGATGGAGACCCTGCATCAGAGGAGTCATGGCCATCTGGCTGCCAGTCCAGCAAAGGATCGGTAGCTAAATGCTGAGAACTGTGCTCCGGTGCTGTCATTCCAACACAAGCTATGAAGAGGGTCGCAGCTATTAAGAGCGTCCTGCTCTGTGAACCCAGATCCCAGCTCAAGCTCAGTGTCTGCTACCATGACCTGCATGAGCTCACCTCAAATCAAAATTCAAATTAAAAAAAAAAAAAAAGAAAAGAAAAAATAGAGCTGGAGCTTGCATTATCTGGGATCACAGCTCTGGAAAAGCCAGACTGACAACCCCTGCCCACACATCAGACTGACTGTGTGAGACCAGCAGGTAGTCCCACAATCTAGGCCAGCTTCTTCCTACTGCACATGAGGGAGACTGAATAAGAAGCAATCAACATGCAGAATTTCATGTGTCTTATTTGTTTTCCACACCTACATGTATGCCTACACAGGATCTGGACACGGAGTGGGTTCTAATGTAGGAGAATGACTATAAAATAAACTGAGTTAGGAGATTTGCAATCTAAACTCTTAACTCCAAGCTGGAGGACATGACTCTCAATTGAACAGCAGGGCACTGACAGGCCAGTTTGCTTAACGTAATGGTAACTTCAGTTGTGTAGGAGCAATGGGAACGCTGCAAAGCTAAAGAAGGTAAAATGTTTCACTACTATTCACAATATTCAGAGCAAATTTAGCTCCTGTTCTCATGATAATGCTGGTCTTTTCTCTGCATTAGATGGTAACATTGTGCTTGTGAAACTACTACAATGGGATATTTTTTAAAAATTCCCTGTTGGCACCCAATACCGATCTCATGAAACATGTGCTCAAACACTGAATGACTTCAAAGCTGAGGAAGAAAACATGGTACGTACATTTTCTCTGTGTTACTAATCACCCAAAGAAATGTATAAGCCAGACAGCCTATTTCATAAAAAATACATTTCTCTGGACAGAAAGTGTATCATTCATGCAGCGTAAACTGTGTATTTATTACCTGTGAGGACACTCTGAATAAGATCTTCTGTCTTTGCAGGTGCTTTCACCGAACCTAGAGGTAAAAGAGATGACTAATTCTAAGTCTTTTAAAACAGCAGCCATTATTGTGGTGCTCGACTGCATTTTAAAACATGGCAGGTGACACAGGACACACATTGACATGGGCATTTATTAATCATTTGAGAAAACACATCTCTTGAGGAGAAGAATAGCAACACAGAAAACAACACCGACCCTGAGAACCAACATGAAAAGGTAACCTTCCGAAAACCCACCTGAGCTTTGTTGTTCGTATCAGTTTTGTATCAGTTTGACTCACTCATACCACTCATATGAGTCATTTAAGTGGTATTAGGCTGATGGTTAGTACAACTGCCCTATATTATGATGTCAGTAAAAAATTTCTGTACACAAGATGAATCCAGCTCCTTGGAAGTCAGTCAGATCAAGCCTATGAAGACTGCAGTCATAAAATTATAAACATTGTGGTTTAACAAGCATTTGTTACAGAAGATATGTCAATACAAAATATATAAGCATCTAAGACTCTATTTTGTGTGTGGAATAAGATGTAACTGCATGCATAAATCAGGCATAGTTGTAAAAATAAAGAGATTCCTGCACTTGCAACAAAAAAACCCAAGCCAGCCAGCAAATTTTCTTGCTTGTAATGAACTTCAGTTCCACCACAAAAGCAATTCTGAAATAGAAGATATTATATTTGTATATTTGAAGAAGACTGGCCCTAACAGCAAACAAAAGTAGTGGGAAATTTCTACCGTTTTTATAAAAACACACACACCAAACACGCACAAGCCTCCTCTTTGTTCTGTAAACACAAAGTACATGAAAAATTATAATCCAGATTTATTTTGAAAAGATGGACTTTGTTTTCCTTTTTTTTTTTTTTTTTTTACCTGGTGCTGGTTGGCTATGGACAACCTGAGTTGCTGGTTTCGGTGTAAGAGAGGCAGTGTAATTTACTCCATTTTCTGCTGGTGTTGGCCTAGGTTCATTGTTAGCTTCAGATGGTGCATCTCCATGGTCAATCTGAAAATACATAATGATCTACATTACTCTTCCCAACTAACAGACTTAGAATTATTTATTTGCAGGTCTAGTTTAGGCTTTTTTTTAAAATGTAATATTATGTAAATGTTATATATAAATAATTCTAAAAGAAAACAAACAAAAAGATATCCTTAAGAGCCATGGTAATCCAGATGGTTCATTTTTGCAGGGTAAATTTCAAGAAGAAATACTGCATGTATTATTCTGAAAAAGTATTTTTATTTTACGTGGATATAACTCATCAGGGACATTTTTCAACACAGTACATATTAGTTGCACCACATCTGAAACCCGTATTTTATTGAAAAGTATTGTTCTCTGCCATAAAATCTTTCTAGTAAGAATGTGGAAGCTGGCATGAAAATGTTATTCAAATCCCTGCTGTGAACAAAACATGTACACAAAATTACTTTTAAATTTCATAGATACACACAGCACTACCATTATTCACCGTTCTTACAGAACAGAGACATACTTCTGATTCCCAAGACCTTACATTCTTGTAATTACACTCCCAGGAAAATATGTAAACAGTACCTCCATCCTGCTGCATAAATACATCTGTGGTATCCAAATATTTAAGCATTTTCCACAATCTTTTCTTTCTCTCCAGTTTCCTAAAGGTTCAGGCTTACAGCGTACATTGTATTATGCATCAAGCATCTTATCATTTTCCTTGTGACCATCAGGTTTTAAGCAAACACCCAGCACTCAGCAAACAGAAGGTCATTCAAAGGAATTTTTATTTTGAAATGGCCAAGCCCTGCTTCCTGCTGTCCCTGCAAGGGGCCAGTTGCCATGGTGTCTCAGGGTAGTTTTGGATTTGCTCCTTCAGCTGCTTCCATTTCACTCTTTGATGGTAATCACATTACATGCAGAGGCAGGGTACCACAGTTGTTGGTTTTTTTCCCCTTGATTACTGCACACTTGCAAAATATCAGCCTGCACTGCCATCAATAGAGGCAAACCACATTTTGATCTAACCATTTTGTGCTGCTCCTGCTGCTGATTTCCTTCGTCTTGGCCCTGCCAACATACTATATATTGCAAAAGGACTTCTGTCTCAACAGCCTATTTTTACCAAAATTATAGGCGAGAGATACCATAGTCAGAAACATGACGCAATTGAAAAACAATGCCAACAACTTCATTTATATCAAACAGGAATGACCGCAATAAAATAAGGAAAAACATGATCTAGCCAACATTTATAACATTAGAACGATGTGACTGGCAAAAGCTGTAGCTGTGACAAACACACAGAGACATGGTTATCCCCTTAATTCTCCTTAAAATATACTCCTCACAGGATGCAATTCATTAGTTTAACAAAAGCAGTGTTTGTGATACAGATCATCAACATTTAATACAAATAAAGCTAGAATTCCTAACTTCTGGCAAGTTTGTGCCCCAAAATTCACTGCACGGGAAAGTGAAAGTGGGTATTATCTTCTTATTTTGGAATTAGGTTTGCATGTGGTGCAAAATGCTGCATCACAGCTTGTTGAGAAACTATTAATATTGCCTGTCAGTTTTGAACATAAAATGTCTGTTTTCAGAAACTAAAGCAGAAATGTGAGACAGGATCAGGAAGTGAATAAAGAGTAATTTTCACTACATCAAGCAGTCTAATCTCATTAAAAAGCACTTTCTCTTCTAATAATTCATCACACAGAATGCCAAAGTAAACGTGATTTTTCCTTAGTGGAGAATACTTTAGGCTCTTTTTAAAACATGATGTAATCCAGCCTTACAATTCATAGTTTTAATATTCACAGAAAATGGTTTATATTCCACATATTGCCATGTCTTTGGCAAGACAGTATATTTACTAAGGAGAAAGACACATACCCATACAGACACGTACGTACATGGTCTATTTTTATTTTTATAGAGAAAAAGAGCTGCAATGTATTGGGGTTGGGAGATCTCCTCTGTGCTGCACTGTTCGACTAGGTGAGCAGTTCTTAAGTCAGTTTGCCTCTATCCTCCTTGGCAAAGTATAAGCAAGTGTAAGCAAGGGCTCCCTATAAGAAGCATCAGATCAACTTATTTTTCATGTCTGTAACTTGGTGTGACTATTATGATTTGCAAAATTATGCCTGAATTTTAATTTTAAGTTGTGGTATCAGACATGCTAAGTGCAGCTGCTGTCCTAGAGATGTTTTTGTTTACTTTCCCTAACAAAATAATTTTATTTAACCAAAGCAGCCAACTGGCTTAATTTGATTTATATCCAGGCATGCAAAACATAGTTCCCATTTCAACCCTCTTTTATGGGTAGAAACAACAGGTCAGAAGCTCTGCTGCTTCCATGTCAGACACACTAATGAGCCAGCAAGGCCTCCTGACTCCCTGACTCTGCAGTGGGAATTAAGATGCAGCCCCAGAGACTGTACGCCAGCAAGCACAGTCAAAATGCATTTCACTCTGGCTAGCTTTTCCTAGACCCCTACACACTTCTGCTCCTGTGACTGTAGGGTGAAAACGTACAAATTAGTTACATCAATCTTCTTTAGGCTGGGATTAATTCATCCCAAGGATCTCTCTGCAAATTTCTATGGCTTACTCCTGCTGTCTACAAAGGACACTAGGCAGGGGAAGAGAAGGCAACCTACACTACCTCTACAGTCAAAGTTTTACAATGTATTCAGTGAAGAGAAGGCAACCTACACTACCTCTACACTCATAAAGTTTTACAATGTATTCAGGTAAGTACAGTTCAAGCTGCAAAACCCACACCGCAGGCATAACAAGGCTTCCACTCTGAAAAAATAGGTGTTCTAAGGTCAGGGTGGAAAGCAAGAACCGACCAGAAAACGAAAGGTAGGAATTCATGTTATGCTCATGATGGGAACATTGCAAATAACTACAGAAAAGATGCTGTAAATTTTGTCAGTGCTTAGCATTCTTTGTTTATGTTATCACACTGATAATTAACAAGCAGTGTAACCTGAAGCCTAAAGAAAGGCTAATTTATTTGTTCAAAACAATTCACTATTGGGTAGCTTATCTGACTACTGTTTTGCAAGAAGCCTGGGGAACTTCTTACAGAGATGCAGTTTAAACTTCTACGTAGCAAAGAAAAAAACCTCTCAGTTTTCCTCTGACAGCTGTAAGAAGCCAGCTCAGATAAATCACTGTGTGTGAGTAAAGAGATGTGGGGAGGTGGAATCTGTGCTAGGAAACAGCACAGCTTTGCACAGAAACATTTAGAGTGTGTTAATTTGAAACTGTACATAGGAAAATTGAATCCAGGTGTACTTAGGCATACATTTCTGGCAAACATACTTGGGTTTATTTAGCTATGTTGCCAGTCAATGTACTTGCAATTTTTAACCAATGTGATTTTTGTGGGCCAGTGTAAGTGAACAAAACAGCCTGGCTGACTGATGAAGAAAATGTTATCATCACATAGCATGATCGGACAATTCAAGGTTTCCAAGTACAGCCCAGCTGCCAAATGTCTTACCCAGAATGTGTGCTTATAAATAGAAGGTAACAATTGTGCATTTAGACTGCCACTTAAAGCAGCAATTTTGTACCTGTCCCTTGCTACTGCATCTAACTGAATAGTTACACATTTTTAGCAAACACATCACTACAATCGTTACAGTTTTCTTTTTAAAAATATTTCTTTGCTACTCCAAAACAAGCTCCTTTATCCTATGAGCTTTCAAGCTCCTTGACATACAATAGCACTCCCTGAGCACTACAATTTGTCTTTCCTTCTTCCCATTTGCTTTAGAAGATACTCTGTGACAGAATTTTTCTAACAAATAAACCTATACAGACCAGTAAAATCTGTACTTTTTCAAAAGTAAAAATGACCTCTAAGGTATTTAAAGGATTATGTTAAAAAAAGACTTTGCTATTAAAATAGAATCTCATGTGTAGAGCGTCCTAGATAAATGCCTAAGATACTATTGAGCATTTCACAGTGTCCTCATTCAGCCGAACTTGTGACACTGCACAAAGAGTAAATTGTTGGCCACTGAATTGTAATGACTTTCACTCATCTGGTCTGCTTTGGGAATGTATTCTTGGTTACAAAATCTAGTTCAATGAGGTTTTGCACATCTGAGAATTGAAGAAGACAGGCACCAGAGCTGAGGGCAGTTTAAGATTATAAAGCATTTCTCCATCTTCGCTACAGATCTGTACTGAGTGCCTTTTGATTCACATGATGTGCCTAACATCTGACACAAGCAATCTTTAAAAGACAAGGCTGATATTTTCAAACACTGCTAGAAGATGTCCCAATGACAGCGTCTGGAACAGAGCCATTGAACGTCTGAATGCGCACAGAGTTTATCAGAAACCAAAGCTGACCTGCCAGTACTCCGAACTACGCCCAAAATAACATCCATGCATTGGTATCACAACACCTCCAATTATACAGAAAAATCGGGTTTAGAGGTTAGTCTGTAGGTAACGACATACACCCAAACAGATGCCTAACAA